AGCACATGGCAGCTGCCCCACAGCTAATTGACAAGGGGACATGCTACGAGGACGCGCCGCGGAACGTTCCAAGGGACGCGCCAGGCGACGTGCCAGGCGACGTGCCACGGGGACGCACCGCGGCACGTGCCAAGGGGACGCGTTACGGAACGTGCCAATGGACGTGCCAATAGACGTGCCACAGGACGTGCCCAAGGACGCGCAGCGCGACGTGCCAAGGGGAATCGCCACGGGACGCGCCACGGAACGTTCCAATTTGCAATGCTGAATGTATCGATCTTGATGTACCGTGCCGAAGGTTGTGCTGTGCTGCGCCGTGCTGAACTTGCGATGTGCCATGCCGCGATTGTGCTCTATAGCGTTGTGAATCGAGTTCTCCTATGCATCCGAATCCTGACCGAACTGATCTGGATCTTAAGCTCGAGCTGTCTGAGCACATCGTAGCTCCCCCAGAGTTAACTGACAAGGGAACATGCTAGGAGGACGCGCCGCGGAACGTCCCAAGGGACGCGCCAAGCGACGCACCAAGGGACGTGCCATGGGGACGCACCGCGGGACGTGCCAAAGAGGACGAGCTACGGAACGTGCCGATGGACGCGCCACGGGACGCGCCACGGAACGTGCCAAAGAACGTGCGAAGCGACAGACATGCCAGGGGGCGTACGCGTCGTTCGAGCTCGGGGCAACCATGTTAGATACCCTCCTGTGTGGGACGTGGTTCCAGCTCGGGGCAGCCATGTTGGATACTCCCTGGGTGGCGTGGACACGTGCAAGAACGCGGTTCCAACGCGGAACATGTTAGATACCCACCTGGGTGTCGTGAACACGTGAAAACACGTGGTTCCAGCTCGGGGCCACCATGTTAGATACACTATGGGTGGCTTGGACACGTCAAACCACATGGTCCCAGCTCGGGCACAACATGTTAGATACCCCTCTGGGTGACGTGGACACGTGAAAACACGCGGTTCCAGCGCGGGGCCACCATGTTAGACACACCCTCTGGGCGACCTGGACACATGCAAACACATGGTTCCAGCGCGGGACCACCATCTTAGACACTCCCTGGGTGGCCTGGCCTCAACAGGTGAAACACGTAGTACCAGCTCGCGACCAACATGTTAGATACCCACCTGGGTCGCCTGAACACGTGAAAGCACGTGGCCCCAGCGCGGGACCACCATGTTAGATACCCACCTGTGTGGCCTGGACACGTGAAAACGTGGTACCAACTCGGGACCACCTGGGTGCCGTGGACACGTGAAGCGACGTGGTTCCAGTGCGGGCACAACATGTTAGATAGCCCCTTGTGTGGCGGCCTGGACACGTGAAAACACGTGGCTCGAGCTCGGGACCACCATGCTAGATACCCCCCTGGGCGGCCTGGGCACGTGAAAACACGTGGTTCCAGCGCGGGACCACTACGTTGGATACCCCACTTCTGTGTGGCCTGGACACGTCCAACTCGGGACCACCATGTTAGATACATACCTGGGTGCCCCGAACGCGTGAAACGACGCGGTTACAGCTCGGGACCACCATGTTAGATAGCCCCCTGGGTGGCGTGGACACGTGAAAACACGTGGTTCCAGCGCGGGGCCACCGTGTTAGATACGCCCCATGTGTGGCCTGGACGTGTAAAAACACGTGGTTCCATCTAAGGATCACTATGTTAGATATCCCCTTTCTGTGCGGCCTGGACACGTGAACAGACGTGGTTCCAGCTAGGGACCACCATGTTAGATACCCAACCGGGTGGCCTGGACACGTGAAAACGTGGTTCCAGCTGGGGACCACCATGTTAGATACCTCCTGGGCCCTCCTAGCGAAATTCCTGCAAAAAACGAACGAATTTGCCGAGACATGCGCGCGGGGCGTGGCACGCGCGAGACATCCTCGAAATTCCTGCGCGCGGGATCTTCTCCGCGTCGCGGTCGGGGCTCCAGAATTTTTTTTGAACAAAAAAGAAACCGAGGTCTGGAACCCCGACCGCGACGCGGAAAAGCGTCCCGCGCGCAGGAATTCCAAGGATGTCTCGCGTGTGCGGCGTCCTGTGCGCAGGAATTCCGAGGATGTCTCGGCTAATTCGCCTGTTCGTCCCGGAAAGTGCATGGGCCCAGGGTTGTCTTTCAGTTGGTTTTCCCCCCGGCCCCTACGGGAGGTGGGCCGGCGGAATTGCTTCGCTATAACTTGCGAAGTAAAATGCGTTTTTCGCGTGCCCGCTCGAGGAAAGTTTGCCCCCCAATTCGGATCCTCGATAATAAGCGGGGTCCGCACACCACCGTGTTCCTTCGTTAAAAAGAAGGTGCGGCGCGTTTTTAGCAGAATCTTTTTTCTTTGGAGGGTTCTTCCACGTGATCGACCCACGAACCCGGAAAGGAATATAGATAGAAATGTAAGGAATGGCAGCGATTCAAAGACATTTGATTGGGCGACGGCCAAACGCAATGCTGAATGTATCGATATTGATGTACCGTGCCGAGGGCTGTGCTGTGCAGCG